TTCCTAGGAATTGACCTCCTTTAGGTACACCTTTTAGAGTTTCCTTAGATAGCATGTTTTGTATGTCTAAGAGCTTTGAGTGCCTTTTTAAAATTTAACTCTCAAGGGTCAAGGGGTCATTTTGCATTATTTGCCTGTGGATCTAAAAGGTCCCTGGGTGGCACAAGAGGTTTGCAAGTGGCTGTAAACCCGAAGTTTGGTGGTTTGAACCCATCTGTTGGTGCTCTGGCAGAAGACCTGGCAATCTGCATCCACAAAGATCACAGCCAGGAAAACCCTGTGGATCACTTCTCCTCTGCAACACAGGGTTGCCATTAGTTGGGATCTACTTGATGGCAATGAGATTTTATGAGTGGATGGGGGTTTTGGTCTGGTGCCTGGAGCTAGTTACAGGCCTACGTTGAGAACTTTCCTGTCCCTGTCCTTACCTTCAGATTAACATCTCCTTCTTCCCAATAACCTTGGGCCAGGGTTTGGTTCTTTTACCTTCAGTCCACTGATGCTGACGGTGAATCATCAGCTAGTATTAGAGCCATGCCATAGAGCTACCTGGGTTTTCTGGGTTTGTTTTGGAAAAGTTGAAATTAGCTGTGGATCATGGTGCTTCAACAAATGGTAGCATGAGCAAGAGATCCAGCAGACTCTCAAGGGTCAGTTTGTAGAGTGAGAGGAGGACAAGTAGCCAGGAAATTCAAGCGCACTCTTAACCCTCTGTGCCCTGGTTGTTTGTTGTTGTGAAGCACCGTCAAGTCGATTCCGAGCCATAGTGACCCTGTATAGGATTTCCAAGGAGCAGCTGGTGAGCTTGAACCACTAACTTTGCAGTTCAAACGGCTTTGCAGTCTGGCGCATTAACACACACCAGGACTCTATGCCCTGGTTAACAAATGTTTAATACTTTCAGATATAATCCCTGTTCAATTCACTGACCAGTCAGCAACACTGTTGCCTAAATGATGCTCAAAGTTTCAGGACTTCAAGATAGAAATTAAACAAGAAAAAAGTGACTATGTCTTTTTTTTTTTTTTTGCATGTTTGCTTATTTAAAGAAGGATCTGAAGTGACTAATTTGTCTGTATAGAATTCAAAATGAAGATGGAAATGGAAAACTTCACTCAGATACTAGGGTATGGCCATCTGTTTGAATGTTTGCCTTTGTGAATCAAAGCGAGCAGTTGATCGATTTTTTTTTTTTTTTTCCCAATGAGTTGTGGTGCTGTAGAGATACAGCCTCGGGCTTTCAACAGAGACTGAAGCCTTTGGGAACGTGTGTATGTGTGTGCATGCGAGTGTGTGTGTGTGTGTGTGTGTGCTTGGTCTGCACCATGTGCTTTATTTCAATTACTCCCCGTAACAAACCCATGAGGGAGGTGTTGTTAATATTACATAAAAGGAAACTGAGGTTAAAAAAGATGAAATAGTCCCACTACCAAGGAAGAGAAAGAACTGTTTCTCTAAAGCAGTCTGTCTGACTCTGAAGTCTGGCTCTTCTCACTTTGAAGAGGTAGAAAGGAAAGGAAGAGAGCAGATGGGAGTGGGGATATGTAGAGAAATAGAACAAACACCCCAAGGACACGATCTAAGAAATCCTGAGAAAATGCTTAATGAACCCTGAGCCACACTCCTAGCTGTGTCACTGGCACCCCTTCCTCTCAGACACTGTAAAAGTCTGGTCTGCCGTGTTCTGACTCACACCCTTCTCTTCTTCCCTACTCAGACCTAAAGTAGGCCTGCCCTGCTCACTTGACTGTCCTGTTGCTGGGGTCTGGGTCTCCTCCATCCGGAACCGGGTTCCCATGATAGTGAGCAGAGGCCAGGATCTGCTGCTTAGGATCACTGCCCAGGGCAGGAGACAAGCCCCAGGCTCTGAGAGAGGTCACCTGTGAGAGGGTGCCTGGGCCAATAGGGGAAGGTGAAGCAGAACCAGAAGGGCTGAATGCTCGTTGCCACTCTGCACTCATCTGCCTCACTTCCTGTGCATAGATCATAGTGTGGAGTGAGTAGAGCGGGTTCCTGACTGTAGGCACTTCTCCTTCACGAGCTGCCAGGGCTCAGCACGAGTCCTCCAGATGTGGCTGTGACAATATGGCTTTCATCTCCATTAGGGGGACCCCACGAGAGAGGAGCCCCTTCCTTCCCCTACGGCCCCAATCCCTCTTCCAGGACACACACTGTCACCAGAAGGAGAAGCCTGGCACTTCCTTCCCGCCTACCACTTCCCTTGACTTGGGAACCTTGCAGAACCCCCACCAGAGCCCTCCTGAGCAAAGAGCCAAGCTAGGGTAAGCCTGTGTATATGAGGCCTCAATTTCAGATTAGATTCACAAATTTAATTTCCTATTCCTTAATTTAATTCTGCATTTTAGTTTTGTTTTTATTATTTACATGGGTTCCCTTTAATGATTCCAAATTGCTGCTGCCCTCTAGCAGTATTTTGTCTTAGGTTTAACTTCTTGAAAACCGATCAGTGTTGGAGTTTATTCCGCGCTGGGTTTAGTTATTTTCTGAAACGAAGCACAATTAAATTAGAATAATGAACATGCTCTTTAGAGGATTAATTTATAATAAGCAGGCCATGTGCTACAGCTCACAGAAGAAAGGGTATAAGGATCGAAAGCTGTTTTTTCTGCCTAAATATGAAAAGTACATTCTGCAGAGCAGAACAAATCAGCTAATGACATCCAGAGCGCTGGCCAGCCCCAGAGCGGCGTGGAGCTGGCATCTCGAGTTAGCGCGATCCTCACCGACTCTGCTGCTTACCTTCCTTTCTAGAGAAGGCTGGCAGTGGGTGAGTTTGCTGGCTCAACATAGGGGATAGAGATCACCGTGAGCCTCCTACATTCTGCCCCAGGAAGCCCCAAACCCCACAGCTTAAGACTTCGCAAGGTGCACCCTCAGAGCTTCCCACAGCCCAGCCATGTAATCAATCTTTCATCCAACAAATGTACAGCTCCTGTTAGCACCAAGCTCTGTTGTTCTCTTGGAACCCATCATGGAAGAAAACAGATAACACAGGTCCTTGCCCTTGTAGAACACATGTCTGAGGAGTCAATCAGACAATAAATAATAAATAAAAGTCATAAGTAAATTCTACAGAGTGCTAAGGAGTAAGAGGGCTTGAAAGTAGAGAGTGCATGTGTGCTTGTGTGCTTGTATGCTTACATGTGTGTGCGTAGTTTGCAATTTTAAATATGATCAACCAGGGTAGATCTCACTCAGAAGGTAGATCAACTGGGCAAGGAGGTGAGAAAATTCAGTTACTGATTGCATTGTTGAAGTCTTAATTGCTTGTACCTGTGACAGACCTGGTTTGGAAATAGGGTCTTTGAAAATGTTATTCATTAACACCAGTGCTGGTGATGGTGGTGGTGGTGTGCCATCAAGTTGGTTCCGGCTCGTAGAAGAAACTCTGTTTAGGGTTTCCAAGATGCAGCTGGTGGGTTTGAACCGCTAACCTTACAGTCCAGTGTTTATCCTATAGAGCCACACCATACATCTATTCAATCTTGTTGTTAAGTGTCATCAGTCTTAGAGACATCCTCATAAAAAGAAGAGACACAGAGAGACACACACAGGAAGACAGGCAAAGATGACTCTATAAGGCAAGGAATGCTTGGAGCTCCCAGAAGCCCAGAGAGATAAGAAAGGATTTTTCCCTAGAGGCTGTAGTGGGACCATGACCTGACCAACATGATGATTTGGATATCATTTCACCTCCAGAACTGAAAGACAATGATACTTTGTGATGGTGGGGTCAAAATTGTCCCAGGAAGAGGAAAGAAGTAGCAAAAGTCCTCAGGAAGGAGTGTGGGTGATGGGTCTGAGGAACAATGAGGCAAGTGGAGCCTGAAAAGGGAGAGTAGATAGGAAATAAAGGGGCCAAATCATGTGGGGCATTGGCTTCTGCTCTGAGTCAATGGACAGGGTTTTGAGAAAAGGCCAACCATGACCTGATTTACATCAGACAATCACTTTGGCTGTTGTCTGAGAAACTGAGGTGGGATAGTTGGGTGGATTACCAGATGACACAGTTTGTGCTCAACTGTTAACTACAATTAACATCATCATGGAAGAAAGGTCTGGCAATCTACTCCGGTGAAGATTAATGACTCATACGAACTCTGTAGGGCATAGTAGAACTTCTCCCTAGGGTTTCTGAAACTGTGAAGCTTACAAGAACAGATAGCTTCATCTTTCTCCCACACTGGTGGGGTTTTCCTTAAAGAGTGCAAGCAAGGAAACCCTAAGGAACAGTTCTCCTCTATAAGACATGAGGTTCCCATGAGTCAGAATCAAATCTGTGACAGTGGGTTTGCTTTGGGCTTAGGGATGGGTGGAATCTGGGAGAGCTGCTTAGACCTCTAACACTCCAGCCCAGATTCCCCCACACCACATCCCTGAAATAGTCATTCCAGGCTTCATAGCCAGACCTGGAGACTTGCAGTCTCCCATAGCCTCCCGATTTCTCTCAGAAGACCTAGAAGTTGTTGTTGTTATGTGCCATGGAGTTGGTTCCGACTCATAGCGACCCTGTACAGGGTTTCCAAGGCTGTAAATCTTTAAGGGAGCAGAAAGCTTCATCTTTCTCCTGCGGAACAGCTGGTAGTTTCGAACTGCTGACCTTGTGGCTCGCAGCCCAATTCATAACCACTACACTACCAGAGCTCCTTTCATTCCAGGCTTTATAGCCAGACCTGGAGACTTACAGTCTCCCATAGCCTCCTGATTTCTCTCAGAAGACCTAGAAGAGTGGTTTCAAACAGCTTGAACTTGCTGTGAGGCAAGTCAGAGCTATCCACCCCACCCCCACCACACACATGCCCCAGGAGACTGCCCCTCCCACTGACCTTTGGACCAAGGGCCAGAGCCTGCAATGTAACAGGTCTTCCAAGCAAGGAACAACTCTGCACTGTTCCTTTGGGTGTCTCAGACACCTCTAAGAGAGGCACCCTGTCCTCTAGGTACCCTATAAGGTAAGTTAGAAACCTTCTGTTGTGCAGCTGCCCCAGAAACAAGGGGCAGATCAAAGCAGGAGAAGTCCAACATCTGCAGCAACCAAAGCAATAGACACAAACAAACAATGAATAAATAAGCAGATGAATGATTGATGGATGGATAGATGAATGATTGATGATGAAATTAATGATTGATGAATAAACAAAGGTACAGCCCGGAACCAACTTCTCCTGGCTGCTCTTTGGATCATCTCTTAGGAACCAAGAAAAATCTTCCTATGACTGTCACCTCTAGAAATCCCTGTTGGAGTTGGGATTGCACCTGCTTCGGACTCCAGAGGCAGTAGAGGTGTTGGCTTAGCAGCAGAGGCCTGGAACTGCAGGGATGGGCAGAAGGAGGCTGGAGCAGTTGGGGCTGAGGTGGAGAGTGCCTGAGGCAGCTTCAGGGTCAGGAGGAGAGCTCTGAGGATATGGGAGGAGAGAAGGGTGTGGGAGGAAGAAGGAAGAAAAGAGATTTCTGTTTTGCTTTCTTAGTTCCACACTAGACACCCTGCAGATGTTGATCCTTGGATTCGTTCCCTTCAAGGACCTGCTCCAGTTTCGTGTGCTTTCTGGTTGACTCCAGTTCATGTGTGTCAGAGCAGAACTATGCTCCATAAGATTTTTAATGGCTATTTTTTTTTTTCTTTCCAGTAAGTAGATTGCCAGACTTTCCCCCCATGGTGTTTCTGGGTAGATTTGAACATGTAACTTTTCTGTTAGTAGCCAAATGCTTAACTGTTTGTACTTTACAAGGTTTCTCTAGGGTCTGCTAACTAAAAAAACAAAAACAAAAAACTCACACAAAAAATGCCATTCAGTCGAATTCTGGGTCATAGTGAACCTATATGAAACAGAGTAACATTGCCCCATAGGGTTTCCAAGGTGATAAATAAATCTTTATGGAAGCAGACTGCCACATCTTTCTCCCATGGACTGGTAGTGGATTTGAACCACTGACATTTTAGCTAGCAGCTGAGCTCATAGCCTCTGTACCACCAGGACTCCTTTGAACCAAAAAGCCTTCTTCTAGCAGGTTGATCCCAACTCATAGTGACCCTGTATAGGGTTTCTGAAGCTGTGAATCTTTAGCTGAGCAGGAAATCTTGTTTTTCTCCTGTGTTGGTTTTGAACTGCCAATCTTGCAGTTAGCAGTCTAGTGCTTAGCCTACAGTACCACCAGGGGATCCTCCTCTACGATACACATCTCAGATGAGTATGTGACTATAATATCCCAACAGGCAGAAAGATTTCTGTGACTGAAATTCTCAGAAACTTCCCTGATGGGATAGGTTAACGCTGATGTCCACTGCTAACCATACCCCTTCACACTGATGTCCCCCACTTCCAAAAGTTCTTGCCTCCCACCAGTCCATGCTGGGCCAAATTCTGGTGCTTCCCCAGAGAGAAATATGTACTGGGGACAGGGATAAAGAAGTAGGGTCTATAGACTCTTGTTCCCATGACCCAGCTCAGTTATGAAGGAGAATGTTGCCTGGTGTTTCTCATGGGATCTGGACCAGCCATACTATGAATCTGGGGCCAAAAAAGACTATTCACATGTACAGGAGAGTACATGTGTACGTTTCATTTTATTTTTAGAGTTTTAATAATCATACTCCAATGACTCCCAAATATTGTGGCACTGTAGGATAAACACTTGATCCCGACATTGGTTTGATCCGCAAGGTTGGTGGTTCAAATTCAACCAGCTGCTCTTCAGTCCCTATGAGTTGGAACCAACTCCATGGCACTCAACAACAAGGCTAGATGGCCCCTTTTACATCCTTTGTTTCTTAATTCTCTCACTGACCACCCCATGATGTATTTTATCCTCAGAGGGGGTCACCAGGAATTGAAATGGACTCAGTGGTAAGTGGTTTTACTGATGAAGCAGGCTCAGAGAAGCTAGCAACATGTTAGTATGTGGTGGAGCCAGAATGGAACCCACATGGATCATGGCCATTTGGAGCTGAAAACTGAAGGGACATTTCATGGAGGCATCTTTGAACTAGTCTGCTGATCTTTCACTCCCTCCAGCTGCCCCCTACCACCCATGATTCTTAACCCTTTGGGGACTGCAGACTCCTTTAAGCATGTGATAAGAGACTCTTCCTCAAAAACACACATTTTGCATGTTGCACAAGTGCATTTTGCAGGCAATCTCAGGGGTCCACAGACCACCGAAGCACATGAATCCCCATTTAGACATCCATGTTTTGCAGTGATTGCTTTTACTTCTCATTATGCAAAGACACAGGGCAACTTTGGCTGGGAGGCCCCAAAAGTCACCCCAGTGGGGAATGGAATTAGACAGGACAAGTTAATCAATGAAAGCTTCCCGCCTGCCCCTTTCATAATTGCATTCCTGCCTTTTCATCCTAACAGCCAGCACTTAGGGTAATTGCATTCCAATAAGGCTCTGAGGTCTGGGGCCTCTGGAACCTGTTGACATGCCATCTGCTTCTAGAGAAGTTTCAGAGACCTAGACAAGCCTTTTAAAATTCTTCTCCCTTGTCTTTGCTATAAGAGAGACAAAGGACCCTGTAGCAGATTGTGTCTAAAATCCTGCTTTCTTAACCCACCCACATCACTCCTGGAGCCACAGAGACTTCCTTGGTCCCTAGCTTTCTTTCTGAGGTTAAAACAGCAGCACCTTACTCAGGGTGGGTGACCTTTGGAAACACCTGGCTTCCCAGTGGGGTGACTGCCACAGGGGCAGGCAGGTCAGCTCAGGTGTAGAGAATCATGGACTTAGGAGGTCCTGCAGGGGTGGGGTATGGTGCTGCTTCAAACACCCCAAGCTTCATTCCCTTGTTATTGCTGTTAAGCTCCATCAAGTCAGTTCCAACTAATGGCAGCCCTGTATAGGGTTTCGGAGAATCATCTGTTGGTTTGAACTAATGACCTTGAGGTTAGCTGTCCAGTGATTATCCTACAGCTCCATACCAGGATCCCCCTTAATCATAACATTTACTGTTGTTAAAGTGCCATTGAGTCGGTCCTAACACATAACAACTCTTTAGGGTTTTTGAGAGAAGGTGGGCTTGAACTGATGATCTTGAAGTTAGCAGTCCAGAGTTTAATTTACAACACCACACCAGGGATCTAACATTTATTGTTGTTGTTGTTAAGTGCTGCAGAGTTTGATTCATAGGGTCCCTGTATAGGGTTTCTGCGGAGTGGCCAGTGAGCAGCGAGTTTGAATCGCCGACCTTGTGTCCAGTTTGTTAGAACCCTCTAATGGACTCTTACTTTTTGCAAAGAAAACTTACAATATAAACAAGTATGGGATCTTCAAGGAACATGGAGGGGAGGTTTCATAAATCTAGACAGTCTTATTTCTAGAAATGCATACAACTTCCTGAAAGAGGGTCCATGAGTTCTTCAGGAAGTGAAATCCACACAGTTAACAGAGGGAACATGCAGGGTTCATGGTGATATGTGTTTCATTGTTTGCCAGACAGAGGTGGCTCTTCTGCTAGTCCCCAACAAAGGAATGAGGTGTAAAATGAGAGATTTGAGGTTTATTATATGACTTACTGTTCATGGATGCTCCTCCCCCAGCACAACAAGGCTGTGTCTTTCTTTGGAGGTATTCTATGGGACTTTTGTTTGTTGGGGGTGAGCCCCGAGAAGTACTCCTCAAGTCCAGTTCTCCTCGATCCCATCCTCAGAGTTGAGAGCTGACTCTTCTCTGCTGAGACCCTTCTATTCTCAGAGGAAATGGATTGTTTGAGGGGATAGATTTACTTGCTTCAGGATGGGATTTGGTCTATTATGCTGAATATTTTAGGGTGGTTGATTCTTGTTTCCTGAATTGTGCAAGCTGTTTGGCTGCTAACCAAAAGTTGGAGGTTTAACCCTGTCCAGAGGCACTATGGAAGAAAGTTCTGGCAATCTACTTCCAGAAAATTAGCCATTGAAGACTACTAAGTGCAGTTCTACTCTGGCACACATGGGGTTTCCATGAATCAGAATTGACTCAACATCAACCAGTGAACTGGTTAATCCCCATTTCAGTGTTATAATTCTGGCTCATTTGTGGTTTAGTACAAATGGTGGGCTTGGGTTTGAATCTTGGTTCTACCAAGTGACCCTGAGTAAGTCACTTCCTCTGGATGAACCTCAGTTTCCTCCTATGGGTTTGGAGTGGGGGGAAGACAGAGTAAGATTTACCTTAACCAGTTGCTATCCAGTTGCTTCTGATTTATGGCAACCTCATGTACATGAGGAGTAGAAATATACTGTGTAGTTTTCAATGGTTGATTTTTCAAAGGTGGATCACCAGGACTTTCTTCTGAGGTGCCTCTGGGTGCACTTGAGCCTCCCACCTTTTGGTTAGTGGATGAGTATGTTAGCTTTTGTACCACCCAGGGACTCCAAGAATTACTTGTTGTTGTTAGGTGCCTTCTACTTGGCTCTGACTCATAGTGACCCTATGTATGCACAGCAGATAGAAACATTACCTGATCCTGCACCATCCTAACAATTGTTATGTCTCAGCCCATTGTTTACCTTACAAGGTTCAAATTAAAGAGATACCATATATCATAGAGGAGCCTGTGAGTTAATGCACTGAACTGCAAAGTCAGTTTGAACCACAAGGTCTGCGGTTCAGGCTCACCAGTCACTCCCTGGGCACCCTATACAGGATCGCTATGGGTTGGAACTGACTCCACAGCACTTAACAACAACACCAACGTATGTCATAGCATCTGGCATTTGATACATTATCCTTTCCTTCTTTTCCTACATGAAGGAATGAACTTCAAAAGCATTTTGTAGTTGTCAGAGAATTCTGTAGTTGTCAGAGAATTCTGGAATGCTCTTCAGCAAGTCCAGCCCTTCTCCCAGCCACCTCCAGCCCTCTAATTCCGTCCTTCCATTGTCAAAATAGCTTCCTTTACCTACAGCAGGTAACCTAAACTCCAAATGGTCCTTTCAAGCATTATCAGAGAATAGGATTCTTATGAGCACCTTTAGATTCTCTGTGGGAGTCCAAAGCAGGGCTAAGGTACCCTCATAAATAGGTCACTGTGTTCTTTTCTGCCTCTTTGGTTGAACACCCAAGTCTATTAAGGCTGTCT